CCTCCGCTGTGCACCAGGAATCGGAAGAGCTCCACACAACAGCCGTCCACCAACACCAGATATTGAACTTGCCCCGGGACACCCCGGACAAAATTAAAGTAACTATGTGTATCGAGGGGGCGCCCTGTGAGATGGAGTTATCCATTATCTCTGATGAGACTCTCTGGAGGCTCTGCCCACAGGGGGCCCCCCACCTGAGACCCATGAGGATCACCCTCAGAAACTTCCAAAAGAACCCAGTGGCCATTACGGGGTGGGGCAAGTTTCACATGCAGTACAAGGACTTTGATGGACTTTTAGACTTGGTGGTGGTGGAAGGACAGCTTACTAGTTTGCTGGGACTGTCATGGTTCGCTTCCCTGGGATTCGGGGTGACGGGTGTGCATCACATACAAACCACGGAATTTCAGAGTGTATACAATGAGTTCCCCGGAGTTTTTGATGGTACTCTTGGCCACTACACCGGCCCGCCCATCTCCCTAATACTCGACCCGGCTGTCCGCCCTGTCCGCATGAAAGCCAGGCACGTCCCATTTGCACTTAAGCCAAAGATAGACGAGGAACTGGACTGCCTGGTGGCCCAGGGGGTTCTGAAACCTGTGCCGCATGCCCTCTGGGAGACACCCATAGTCACACCAGTGAAGACCAACAGGGACGTCCGTGTCTGCGCAGACTACAAATGCACCATTAATAAGGCCCTTCAGGACCATGCTTATCCCATTCCGGTGGTCGGCCATGTCTTGGCATCCTTGGCCGGCACAAAGGTTTTTGGCAAACTGGACTTGGCCCAGGCATACCAGCAGCTCCCAGTAGATGATGCCACCGCAGAGGCCCAGACAAATAGTGACACACCGGGGAGCCTTCAGGGTCTGGAGGCTGCAATTTGGGGTCAGTGTAGCCCCAGGAATCTTCCAGAATCTTATGGACTGTCTTCTTAAAGGTATCCCCGGGGTTCAGCCATTCTTCGATGATGTTCTGATTGCTGCCCCATCTGCCGAGACTTTTGCTGAAAGACTGCGCACCGTCTTGCAACGTTTCCACACCGCCGGCCTCAAGGTGAAACACGAAATATGTCTCCTGGGAGTTCCGAGAGTTGAGTTCCTGGGATTCTCGGTCAACACGCACAGCATCCACCCCACTCCTGACAAGGTCAGCACCACTGTCAACACCCCGTCTCCAAAATCCAAGCCAGAATTCCAGGCCTTGTCCGCCCTGTCCGCATGAAAGCCTCTTTAGCTTGGAGAAAGGGCTCTTTAGCTTGGAGAAAAGACGACTGAGGGGTGACATGATCGAGGTTTATAAGATTATGCATGGGAAAGAGCAGGTAAAGAAAGAGGTACTTTTCTCCCTTTCTCACAATACAAGAACTCGTGGGCACTCCATGAAACTGCAGAGCGGTCGGGTTAGAACGGATAAAAGGAAGTACTTCTTCACCCAAAGAGTGATTAACACATGGAATTCACTGCCACAGGAAGTGGTGGGTGCTACAAGCATGGACGGCTTCAAAAGGGAATTAGATAAGCATATGGAGCAGAGGTCCATCAGTGGCTATTAGCCACAAGGTATAGCTGGGGGCTCTGGGGCAAGTGATGCTCTGTCTTCTTGGTGCTTGGGGGGGGGTCAACAGTGGGAGGGCTTCTAATGTCCTGGCCCCACTGCTGGACCTCCTGATGGCACTGGTATTTCTGGCCACTGTGTGACACAGAGTGTTGGACTGGATGGGCCTTTGGCCTGATCCAACATTGGCGTCTCTTATGTTCTTATGTTCTTATGCCTTCTTGGGGCTGCTGAACATCTATCATTCCTTCTTGCCCAACAAGGCCGCAGTCGCAGAGCCCCTGCACCACCTGCTCAACAAAAAAGCTCCCTGGGTCTAGGGCTAGAAGGGAGCTGCCACGTTTCGGGCTGTCAAACAGCTGCTGACCTCCAATGCCATCCTCGCACACTTTGACAAGTCCCTCCCCATCGTCCTCGCCTGCGACGCTTCTCCATATGGGGTGGGGGCTGTCCTGGGGCACCAACTGCCCGACGGCCAGGAGGTCTTCATGGCCTATTACTCCCGCACCTTGTCTTCGGCCGTGCTCAACTACGCAAAGATAGACAAGGAGGCTTTGACAATTGTGGTGGGGGTGAAAAAATTTCATGACTACCTCTATGGACAGCCCTTCACTATCATCACAGACCACAAGCCCCTGTTTGGTCTGTTGGCCCCTGACCACCAGACCCCACAGATGCTGTCGCCTCGGGTGCTCCACTGGTCCATCTTCCTGGCCGGCTACCAATATGCGCTTCTCCATCGTCCTGGAAAGGCGGTGGGCCATACCGACACACTCAGCCGCCTCCCGCTGCCCACCTGCAACCCGGCCCCTGCCCACCAGATCCTGCTCCTCGAGGACCTGCCTGACCATCTCATCCAGGTAGCTGAGGTGTCCCATCACACCATGTGGGACTTCATCCTCTCCCGGGTTCTGAACTGGGTGGGGGTGGCCCACCAGCCGGTTGGGCCCAGAATCCGCGGCGTTCTCCTCCCGCCGAGACAAACTGTCAGCCCACAAGGGCTGCCTGCTGTGGGGGAGCCGGGTGGTTGTGCCAACCCCACTATGCCAGTGAGTCCTAGCAGCTCTACACGACACGCATCCAGGAATCATGCACATGAAAGCACTAGCCTGCAGCTACATTTGGTGGCCAGGCATGGACAGCAAGATAGAGAACTGTGTTAAACGCTGCCAGACATGCCAGGAGTCCCAACCGGAGCCACCCAGGGCCCCAGTATGTCCATGGGAATCCTCCCACAAGCCATGGGCCCAACTGCACCTAGATTTTGTGGGCCCCTTCCAGGGTCAGATCTTCTTCATTCTGGTGGATTCATACACCAAAAGGCTAGAAGTGACACCGGTTCCCTCCACATCGTCTCGAGCCGTGATCCACGCCCTATGGCGGATCTTTAGTACAATGGACAATGGGACAGGGTTCACCTTGTCCGAATTCCAGGAATTCATGGACTACTACGCCATCCGACACATCCGCTCCGCCCCATTCCACTCTGCAACCAATGGCCAAGCCGAGCGGATGGTAAGGACAACAAAGTAGTCCCTCCACCGGATCGTCCAAGAGGACTAGGACCACTGACTGGCTGCCTTCCTCTTTGGCCAGCAGATGACCCCGAATGCCACCACTGGCCACAGCCCCACAGAACTGCTCATGGGTAGGCACCTCACAACCCGCCTTGACCATTTGCACCCCGACCGCACTCCAGAACACAGTTCGGCCCCGGAAACCCAAGCAGCACCCTGTGAATTCTCGCCGGGGGACCTCATTTATGCCAAAAACTTCTCCAGGGGCCCCGCATGGGTCCCGGTCAAGGTAGTCAGAGTTATGGGGGCCCTGTCCTATGAAGTATCCACAGAAGTTGGTCAGCTGCTCTGTCAGCACATCGACCAACTCTGCAGCCGCCTCCCCGCAGACCCCGGGTTGTCAGCATCACAGCCAGAGGATAGTGACGAGGAAGTGCCAGGTCCCAAGGTCGACGACAACTCACCAACTGCAAGTGCACAGCCGACAGCCAGGGTGCAGCCCTCAGCAACAGCCGACAGAATGCCAGAACCAGCCGTTGCCGAGGGCCCCGATGCCATGCCAGCGCCTCCACCAGTCCCCAGTTCCTTGGCGGGACCAGCTTCCGAAGAGGTCCCTGCACCCGCGGTTCCGCCAGTGGAGCTTTGCTCCTCAATCCGCGAGCGGCACCACCCGCTTATTTAAAGGACTTTGTCAGCTTAATAAACTTAATAAACATGAGCTAATCACTCTACGCGTCTGAACCCAGTACATTTCAGAGAGGAAGATGGCAAGCCTCTTCCCAGGCGATCCCGGCTCCTTTTCTCCTGGCTGTGTGGCCAGGAGAGAGGGAGATGGGAACCGCTTTTCTAGGTGACCCTGTCTCCCTTTCTCCTGGCCAGGGTGAGCCTTGGCCAGAAGAAAGGTGGAAGGGAGTCCATTCCAGGGTAATTCCTGTCCCTCCTTCTCCTGGCCATGGTGAGCCATGGCTGGGAGAAAAGTGGAAGGGTGTTCCTTCCAGGGCGATCCCTGCCCCCTTTTCCCCTGCCACAGAGAGCTATGCCAGGAGAAAGGAGGAGGGGAAGATGGGAAGCCCCTTTCTCCTAGCCAGGGCAAGCCTCAGCTGGGAGAAAAAGTGGGAGTCCCTTCTAGGGCAATTCCTCTCCCCTTTTCTCCTGGCCAGGGCAAGCCTCAGCTGGGAGAAAAGTGGGAGTTCCTTCCAGGGTGATTCCCTTCCCATTTTCTCTTGGCTAGAGCAAGCCATGGCAAGGAGAAAAGTGGAAGGGTGTCCCTTGCAGGGCGATCCCCACCCCCCCTTTTCCTGGCTGTGGTGAGCCATGCCAGGAGAAAGGGGAAGTCCTTTCCAGGGTGATCCCCTCTCTCTTTCTCCTGGCCAGGGTGAGCTGCATCAGGTCTTGCTTAGAGAAATGGGGAAGGAAAGTCCTTTCCAGGGTGATCCCCACCCCATTTCTCCTGTCCAGGGTGAGCCGCAGCTAGGAGAAAGGTGGAAGGGAGTCCCTTCCAGGGCAATCCCCACCCTCTTTTTCCCAACAGCGGTGAGCCATGTCAGGAGACCAGTTCGGGGCCTGTTTGCTTGGTTCAGGATTTAGTTCGAGGGCCACCTCAAACCCCAAAATGAAGCGAACCACCTTGTTTAGGTCCATGCCCATCCCTAATACTGTTATTAATGTTTAACTATGCATCCCATCCTATGCAACCCTTGAAACCTTCAGTGCAGTGCAGATAGCATGCATTGACATAATATAGATTCGTAGTTTCTATTAACATTCCTTAACACCCTCCTTAACCAATTCGTTGGTTAATCTGAAATGGGGAAATTTCTAAATATGTGTAGCATGAAAATGCTGTAATTTCAACATCAGTATTGTGGTTCTTCTGTGCTTAGATTGTGCTTTATATTTTTTTTGTTTTTAATTATTGAACATTAGGTTCAGGATTCTTGCTTTTGATCATGATCTCTTCAGTTTTGCTGACGTGAATTTTGAAGAATGGCCTGTAGTTCTTGTCACCAATCCCAAGCCATCCCTTTATAGTAGCTCTGCTCATGAACCGCTACAGAGAATCCTTCATTCTACCCACATCAGGTAACTTCATGGTGTGTTTTTATAAAGTTTTTATAAAGTTTTCGTGAGGATATGTGTCTAGTCAGTGTTGATGTATTCTTAATAAGTGCTTTCAGATTCCAGTCATTCCAGTAGACTGTTTAGAACAGGGGTGTCACTTACGGCCCATGGAGTGGGGTTCTCTTCTCTGCTGCCTCCCTTGCCCATCCTTGCTGTTCTGAGTTTGAGCTACCTTGGAGCAGAGGGTGGGGATGCTTCTGAGAGCAGGAAGCAGAGGCCAGGGCTGCCGAACTTCCCAGTCACCGCTCTGGCCTCCATAGTCCTCCTCACAGGTGTGTGGGGGGGGTCCTTCTGCTGTGATCCTTGTGCATCTTTTTATTTTAAAAATTCCCTGGCAAAATCCCGCTATTCCCTCACCTTTCCAATTTAGGCAGGCATGTTTTAAGGGCATGGGGGGAAGGTCTGGGACCAGCCAGGGTTACAATATAGAATTCTGCAAACTCAAGGGACTCCAGTTTTGCAGCTATTAGTTTTAACACACACACCCTCCTAATGTGGAGCTCCAAAGGAATAATAGCAGAACAAGTGCTGAAGAGGACACCCAAAATTATTATTTCAAACCACCCTGTAAAAAAACTCTGGAAAGCCACTGCCACTGTAAGTAGACTGGGGGGTGGGGTGGAGCTTGCAGTGCTCAGCCACTTCATGTCCTTCCCCTGGGTCCTAGGCTTAGACCATTTATATTTGTAGTTTATATTTTTTTTTGGGGGGGGGGGAGGTTTGGGACCAGCCAGGGTTAAAATATAGAGTTCTGCAAACTGAAGGGACTCCAGTTTTGCAGAGAAATATTAATTTTAACACACACCACCTCTTAATGCGGGGCTTAGGGCTGCCAAGTGGGGGTGGGTGGCGGGTAAACCCCCGCTTTGGAGGCCCGATTTCCGCCGCCGTGGAATCAGGCCCCGGGGAAAACTCCGCCCCCAAAGCGTAGCGTGGCTGCATTACCGGAGGTGACGCAACCACGGCGACCAAGTTGGGGGCGTGGCACGGATCGTCAGAGGGAAAACTCTATGGTTTTCTCTCCGATGATTGGGGCCACGTCCTCAACGTGGTCGACGTCGCGCGTCACTTCCTGTGACGTGCTGGTGGCACGCGCGCAACTGCAGACAGCTCCCGCTCCCCCGCCGGTGAGTTTTTTTGACTTGGCAACCCTAGCGGGGCTCCAATGAAATAATACTAGAACAAGTGCTGAAGAGGACACCCAAAATTATTATCTCAAACTAACCTGTAAAAAAAACCCTTAGACACTGGTTAGCCACCACCACTCTGAGTAGACCTGGGGGTGGAGGAGAAGCTTGCAATCCTCAACCACTTCATGTTCTTCCCCCGGGTCCTAGGCTCAGATAATTTATATTTATAGTTTATATTTTTAAGGGGGGGGAGGTTTGGGACTAACCACAGTTAAAATAGAGAGTTCAACAAGCTCAAGGAACTTCAGTTTTGCAGAGAAATATTAGTTTTAATACACATACCCTCCTAATGTGGAGCTGCAATGGAATAGCTGCTATAATATTTTTAATTGTGTTTGTCTATGTCCTTTATAAAGTTTATATCTTTGCTACCCGGCATTATATATTATGACACACATGTCCCGGCCCGACAAAGTCCAATTTATGTCAAACCCGGCCCTCATAACAAATGAGCTTGACACCCGTGTTTTAAAAAGTAGCCTTGTGTTGTGTGTATAATGCACAGGAAAGGTGACCTTGAGTTTTAACCAGCTCCTTGATCAGTTTGTTAACCATGTATAAGGGCAATGTTTAATATACTTTAAAAACAATTTTTAAATGAACATTCCACAATACTGCGAATTCTGTTGTTGGATCTCAACCTTTTTCTTATTGTATCTCCACTCCACACACTCTCTGGAAAAGACCATCCAGAGACAAGCATTATTTCATAGACCAGTTGGGATCATCTCCAGTAACATATAAAGAAAGATGGCATAATGATTATTTTAAAAGCACAATAATTGTGATATAATCTTAACAAGTCCCCCATATACTGGTTTATTTCTACTTCTCAGAATTTTGGCCTTCTCTCCTTCTCCCATCAAATGTGTCAAGGTCAGTATTGATGGCATCCATCTTGGTGAGGCTTTTCAGGTGTCTGGACCTCTCTATGTACTGAAATGGAGCCCCCAAAGCTATAGTCAAGGATTTCATCAAATAAATGTGACAGTTCAGGTGAGTTCTCTGTTCCTACATCTTATTTTTTATCATATAGTATTTTGATAGCTTTCAAAGACTGTTTGTTTGAAGACCTTTGTAAATTATCAGTCTCATATATATATAATGTGTGTGTGTGTGTGTAGCCGATTTCCAGCATTTCTGTTACATTCTAACATGATCAAAAGCAGAACTCAGGACAAGCCTTTACAGGTAGAAGCGGCCTTGAATCTTAATGGTTGGGTGTCACCAGAGACAAGGAACACCTAAGCAGCATCTCCAAATTTACCCTTTTATTTCCTCTGGAACAGAATGGTTCCTATTCAGTCCTATATGAGATACTTTCTCTGCATTTGGGACACTGAGAGTAATACCTGCTCTCTACCCTTCACACTGAGTAACCCAGACTCATCCTTGCAATATACAAGGATGTATGAGCACATTCTGCCCATCATAATGCCAGTATAGTACAATAGCTAGAACAGGACTCCTCAACCATTTTGAGCCTGAGGGCACATTTGGAATTCTGATATACCACGGTGGGCGCAGCAACAAAATGGCTGCTGCAGGAGGTGGAGTCAGCCACAAAATGATTGCTACAGCTTAACTTGTTACAATAAACAGGACCACGGTGTATAATAGCCAGTAAAACAGTAAATCACCGTGTACAAAGCCAATTATTATATGCTGTAGACCCAGTCACATTAGAGCTTGCTATAGGAGCTCCCCAGTCACCAGGTTGGTAAATTTTAAAATGTTATCTTATTTTGATTTTTTTTTGTATGTGTTGTCATTGGAGAATTGTGAAATACATATTGTGCTTGTCTGCTTTTTTCTAGAATCTAAGCGCGGTAGCGTACATCAAAAAATTGTATAAGAATTAGCATTTTGAAATATGGGTGAGTTTATCAAATGTAAAATGCTCCTCTATATATTAGAGTAATTTTTATGTTTTTGGTTATTAAGCATGTTACACTCCATTGCAGCTTGCAGCACTTCATTCTAATGAAGAAATAATTACAGAATGACAAACCTGAAGAAGGACACGCAAACGGATAGTGTACTAGAACTCTGTCGTTTGTCTGTAACTAGTACTGTATTACTTTGTATGTACTGCTAAGCTTTATATCGCATATTGTAGTGTTATTGTTGTAATTGTGTTAATAATTGAATTCTAAACATTGCATATAAAAACCAACAAATATTGTACACAGTGATTTACTGTTTTACCGACAGCTTAACTTGTAGCAACACAGTGCTGATCCTTGTGCTGTGGTGGCAAGTGCTGCCAAAGCAACATTTTTAAAAATCTGCACAGCCAATCAAATCTCCAATAGTCAGTCAGAAGCATACCTGGCCACGTCCACTTCATAAACACACTTGGCGGGTGCCAGAAAAGGTGTCAGTGGGTGCCATGGTGCCCACGGGCACCATGTTGGGGGTCTCCTGGGGATAGAGCATGGGATTGTGACCATGGAAATTCATCTTCCAATCCCCATGCAGCTCCTTGGGTGACTTCCAGACAGTCATTCTCTCAGCCTAACCTACTGTTAGATCCCAAATCAGGAGAATAGACCCACGTTCAAAAGAAGTAAGATTTATTTCCAAAGCTTGGTTGATCATGAACATACAGAGATTGTTCGGAATAACTACAAGAGCCAGGGACGGTGTATTAAAGGAACTTCAAACAAGGTTCAAACCAATGAGCTCATTTCCCTCGTCAGGTCACAGATTAGAAATGGCGCGAAGCAGCCTGAGAACAGCAACGGCCAGTTCCATAAACACAAGTTGAGTTCACACGGAAATATTAAACAAGCTAGAGCGTAAAGACACAACACCCCATCACACCAGCTGGAGGACCTTGGCAGTTACAGATGCAAAACCAGGAGAGGATAACAACTATAGGAGTAAAGGAGGGGGTGGGGAGGGGAAAGGGACAAGATGTGTCCCAAGAGAATGGCAGCTCGCTGACACCTACCTTGCAAGGTCATAGTGAGTATAAAAAAGGACCATTTATGCCATCCTAAGTTTCTTGGGGGAAGGTGGGGTTTTGAAAAGTAGCAATGCTGGGCATTTTGTTAGTAAAGATAATAGGATTTTATTGCTTTGCTATATTCCTGTTTTAGGATGACACTGGTAAAAGTACTACTCAGCATCATTCATTTACTATGGAAGAAAACCTTTCTCTTAAGTTTGGCCTCTTATCATCTTGGATTCTTCTTGCTGATCACTATATATGGGTTAGTATTGCTAGAAAATATGTATATGCCCTAGAACCTTTTGGCCTGTTTTTTTGTTTTTGTTTTTTACCTTGTATGCTACTAAGTTATTTAATTTTATGAGTCACTGAGATGTTTTGGATTTCTTTAGGAACGATGTGTTTTTATGAAGTCTCAGTTTTTGTCCTAGAGTTTGTCCAAGTCTGGGACCCCACCTTCTGCCGTGCCACTGGTCCCCTCCAATCCCTCCAGACTGGCCTCAGACAGGCAGGGTATCAGTGGGGAGGGAGTTTACGCTGCCTCCTTCCCATAGGGAACTGCCACGCTCTCTCTCCCCATTCCAGTCCCTTTCACCAGCTGCACCGGCATCCTCCTTGGCCATCCTTGGAGCATCTGTTATATCCCCTCCCCGCACACCACCCATCCCCTTTCCCCAGGCTGTGCCACACCCTCGCCCTCACAGGTGCTGACCATTTGCTGGGGGATTGTGTGCAACCTGGCTTTGCTCTCCCTGGGCATCAGTCTAGCTCTTCCTGATCCCTCCCCCAGCTGCCTTTCTAGCAGTGGGGCTGTCTGTCTGCCTGACCTTGTGCTTGGTGGGGGCTCCAGCAGTGGAGCTGGCAGGCCTGAGCTCAGTGATCTGACACTTGATGGGGGCAGGTGTTCAGGCCTCCATCGCTGTTCACTTCGAGGTGCTGTGCCTCTAGTCTCCGACTCCGCCAGCCTTTTTGTTCCTCCTGTCGGCACTTGCACCATTCCTTGCTTTCTCTCCATTGTCCTGGTTCATCTGCTGCCCTCGGGTAAGTATTGGGGGCAGTCGGTCTGTGTATTGGCTGGGGCTTTGGGTGGAGGCCTCTGTGGCTCCACAGCCGCTGCTATCCCAGCATTCTGGGCTGGGGGGTCCAGGGAGGATGGCCTTGGCAGCTCTGGAGGTGGCGAGGCTGGACAGAGTTGACCAAACTATAACTTGATTAGATGTCAAAGAATATACTTTTACACTTTGTTTGCTGGTACAGTCCCAATGCGCACACTGTGCATGTAGTGAGTATGTATTTTGCATGTTTGTGCTAGTATTAAAATGGCAAGAGAGAGGAGCATGAGCGCCAACCAGGCTATGAACAAGAAGAAAGGAGACCAAATATTGTTTAAGAACCAGTTCAAATTGTGCCCTGAACTGGACAGCCCAGGCAAGCCTGATCTCATCAGATCTTGTAAGCTAAGCAGGGCCGACTCTGGCAACTATTTGGATGGGAGACCTCCAAAGAATACCAGGGCTGGGAGGCAGAGGCAGGTTAGCAAGCCTCTTCTCTGAACATCCTCCATGCCCCTGTAGGAGTCTCCAGAGGTCGCCATGACTTCCAGTCATGGGCACACGCACACACAAAAGAACCAGTTCAAATTGCACATACTCATGGGTTATAGTTTTCACATAACTGTTGCATCTCAAAATGAATATTTGGAATTACTCTCACAAACATCTTAAAGTGATGCTATTTTAAATAAGTTCTTATAAAATTTTGCATTAGTTTTGAACTGCTTGTTCTTCATGCCTCTATACTTCTTCCCTTCAGACTTCCCATGTGGAAGGATATTCCATATGGAATCAAATAAATAACCTCTATGTGCACTCTGACAGGGTAGGATTGCTCAAGAGAAGTGTAACTATGTAGGTGGCTGAGCATTAGTCCACAGGAGGCATTGTAAAGATTCTAAGTGCTGACATGTCCTCTATTCAGACATCTCAAAAGAGTGAAACTGCATAGTTTAGATTTAAAATGTATGTCTCAGCTTAGGCTAGTCAGCTATTGCCTTATTGTCACGATTCTTAGAATGACAGTGTTTTTCATTTTTCTTTTCTTTTTAAGGTTCGAGTAGTATTTGCACTGATGGTTATCATCCAAATTGCCTTTCTGATTATATTCCGGTATTTAGGAAGGCCATTGCTTAAAGGTAAGAGCCTTTTTAAATGCAACTTTTATCATTCTTTGCTCTACTTCATCAATTTCTTTTCTTGCTGTGCTCCACAGTTTGAAGCATTGTTCTCCTAGCCTGCCTGGAAGAAAAACAGAGAAGCACAATGAGACTGGTTTTAGCTCCTATTACCTGCATGTGCTATATTTATGCAGAAATAGACACGTATCCTCATTCCCCATGTTACATATGAATTATGTGGACATGTGAATATGTTTTCCTGAGCTCTCAGCCAGATGAGAATACTTTTTAATTAAAAAAAAAATTAAACTTTAATCATATATTTGAGAATACTTTTTTTAAAATGGAGGTTACCCATTCAGAATGAAAGTTTGAATAAATGAGGGTTTCACTTTTTTAAAATGATGATATCCTAACTGATCCTAAACAGAATCAATCATAAGAATGTAAAATTATATATGGGAATTTGTGTAGACATGTTGGCTTGGTTTTAGTTTCTCACTGTATCTTAAAGGGATGTGGGTAGGGGCTGTGGCTCAGTGGTAGGGCATTTTCTTGGTATGCAGAAGGTGCCAGGTTACATCCCTGGCATCTCCAGTTAAAAGGATCAGGTAGTAAATCAGATATGAACCACCGCAGCCTGAGACCCTGGAGAGTAATGGCCCTTGTGAGTAAATGGTTGATCCATTAAGGTCAAACTCAATACTATCTGATTTGGTATAAGGCACTTCATGTGATGTTTAGGCAGGCAGTAAAAAGGTTGCTGTGTTAACAGTTAAATGTTCAATGTACTACAAATAATGCAAATTAAATACAAGTTTTAATATTGGGTGTTGGTAATTATAGATTACTGCTAGTGTTGACAACCAGCTGTAGAAAAAATGTCCTGTTCCTTTCATAGAGGCTTAATGTGTAGAAATGGGCAGGGAGGTAAATTCATAGCAGAGAGGTAAATAACAGTCCATTAAGCCTCTATCAAAGGGACAGGACACTTTTCCCCTATACAGTTGGGAATCCTATTTACAGCTGATACTTATTTGTACCAGGCTAGACTTGTTAACATTCTACCCTGCTTTGCAAATGAGCATTATAAAGTGAATTGTACATCCCATGTGAACTGGAACTGAATTGGTTTCAGAGGTGTTCTTCTAGTCTGGGTTTTTTTTAAAATTTAAGTCATACCTAAACCAAAATTATTTAACAAGGCACCATACATAGTAACTGCACCTAGATGTAAATGCTTTCGTCTTATGGCTACAGAAAGAACTGAACACAGTGGATCTCTTATCAATAGTCATAAGCCATCATCATCTATCTATATTCTAATAGCCAAGTTATCCAGATCTGAGGATACAAATCCAGAGATGGGACCTGTGAACACACAAGACCAATCTTTCTACAAACCTGAAAAAACGCCCTAGGTTTGCTGAAAAATCTGAAATCTAACAGAGGGAGGGAGGGGGAGAGAGAGAGAGAGAGAGAGAGAGAGAACACACTAGGGGATTTTAAAAACTCCAATTGATAAAAGGAGTGCCTGTAGGTTTAAAAAAAGGATGCCCTCAGCGACTGCTCCTAGGCAAACACAACAGCTTTGGTTCCTATGAGTAAAAAGCCAGGAGGAGGAGGAAGAGCCCTTTCCAGGGCTATTTTGACCTTTGACAGAGGACTCACTGGCAGGAACCACTGGGCAACTTGATACCACACAACTTGCATGCCTCACCTAGGTCTGACTACTTGTTAATACTCAACAGCAGCCACCCCACAGAAACCAGTGTGGTGTAGTGGTTAGTGCTTCAGACTAGAACCTCGAATCCTCATTGTGCCCTGGAAACACACAGGGTGACCTTGGGCCAGTTACACATTCTCAGCCTAACTTACAGGCAGGGCCAAGATTGACCATTAAAAGCACCCTGGATGCCTCCTGGTCGCACCTGAGCTGGCCAGCCCTTGGACAGAAGGACTGAGCCTGGCCCACCCAAGCCTAGCACAAGGTGAGAGAGGCATCACCCAGCCAGCCTGAAGTGAGGCAGGGGAGACAAAGCCCAGCCCACATTAGAGGAAAGATGAGGGAGGTAGTGGCAGCTGGCTCAGCCTGCTCAAGGCAAGGCCGATACTGGCACCTGGTGCAGCCAACAACCCCTGCAAGGTGAGGCAGATGCTGGTGCACAGCCTGGCTGAGCCCTGTGCAAGCTTCTACAAGTTTCCATTCATTTCAGTGAACGGATTTGCCCCTCTATGGTCCTGTAAAACATTAATTCATTTCAGTGAACGGATTTGCCCCTCTGTGGTCCTGTAAAACCCATATGTCCTTTAGGCAACCCATATGTATTTAACATTAATGAGCAATTTTTCCCCACTGACATTATCTTTTCCATTTTAGGACCTCTCACAAGGGCAATGCAGACCTCTCTTTCACTTCATATCCTGAGCAAAACAAACTTCTTCTATTACTTCTTTTTGCTGCTGAGTTTGTATACTGTTTTAGGTAAGACACACTGAGAAATGGGCACAGTGGCTTTGCTGACATGCCACTATTGTTTCTAGCAGAAAATTTCTGAAAGCTTTGAATTTATCATTTTTAAATATAATGACTCTTTAAGTAATACAAGTGGAATATAATCACAAACTGTAGACTTTCCAGGTTTTAAAGATTTTAGACTTTAGACTAACTACTTCACTTTTTGAGATGTCTGGCCAGCTTGGAAATGTTGAAATCTTTAAGTGGGATTTTCATATGCTCCCACTTGCAAGGGGGAATTGGAGGTACAGGATCCTGTCTAATGCCCAAGTCTGTAAGATTCCTTTTTTTAGCAAGGGATATTATCTTAGAGCATTCTTTCTTAAGGGATTCTTTTTTTTTAGTTTGAGTAGGCAGTTATAGTATTGCCTACTGTGGAGAAATCTTTGATAATTGTAAGGAACAGTTTTCTGTGGAGCAGAGTCATCACAGCTTCATGGGAAAAACTTGTAATTAAAGTCATTAATTACAGAAAGGAAAAATGTACAGTGAGTGTAAAATGTGTAACAGCTATGAAGCGAACAAGAAGTTAAAAAAGGGGAAATCAGTCCTCACTATGTGTTACTTGTGAGAGGTGAAATAATATTAGCTAACAAATTAGTTTCCATCTGGTTCTGCCCAGCTCTCCTCTTGAAGACGTTTTCCCTTCAGCTAGGCCTCCTGTTCTTGAATCTTTTCTCCAGTTGAGTGAAAAGCAAAAAAAATGTCATTTATCTTTCATGGTCCACTTAAAACCTCTGAGTACGCTTTACTAGAATTTCTTCTCTTATGCAAATCAAATCTCACCTCTTCTCCCTCTGAGGTGGAGTACATCTTGCTGGATGATTCCCATCGTCCAGTCAGGGAGGCAGGAACATTTTTTTTAAAGTTCCTGTCTCTTGCCTGTGGGAGTTGCCCTATTCAGTTCTTTTCCTGCCTCAACAGGGAGAGTCTCTTAGATCTAATCTTTATCTAATCTTAAACCTTTATCTAATCTTAACATTCTAAATTCCTTATTCAACCTCATATGTCTTCTATCTTAACTACTTCTATATACTTCCCACAATTCTTTCACTGTTCTTCCCTATATTCTAACCCTTTTTGGAGAAGAACAACAATGTTATAGATAGAGGCTGTCTTCAACAGTGGCGGCCATTTTAGGAGACAGCGAGGGCTTTCTTCTGCTGAGGAGCTGAACACCCTCATCATCGCTTGTGCCGGATGAGGCACAAGAGGAGCCAGCATGACCTATTCAGGCTTGCCTAGGCTACTCCAACGGGATTGCCTAAGGGCACAAGAGGAGCCAGCATGTCCTTATTCAGGCTTGCCTAGGCTACTCCAACCTGATTGCCTTAATCTGAGGGCCACAAAAAGCATGCCAAAAATGACACCTTTTACAACCGGCTGCTGGAGACCAGGGCAATCAATCTGCAAGGCTGCAGGGAGATTCCTATTCCATATGCAGGACTCGAAACTAACAACAGTTGGCTGAGAAAGGAATCTCTGTGGGACCCAGATAACATGCCAGATTTTCAGCGTTCTGGTAATGTATGCAAACCTGGGCTGTTCTCCTTATCTCCTGATTTCCTTCTCTCTTTAGAGTCCAGTCCAGAAAGCTGCTGAGTGCCCCCCACCACTCCATAAGCCATGTAAGCAACATAGCTTCTAATGAGAGCCATTTAAGGACCTACTCAGTGCACTAAGTTGCAGCAGCAGCTGTATACAATGCCAACAGTGGGTCTCCAGGTCTACTCATGAGTAAGATACATGGATCAAGACCTTCAATGTTTTTCCCCCCTGGGTTCTAGCCTTGCTGAGGCAAACCATGCAGGAGGAGATCGCCAATTCTGGCAAGGTAGAGATGGAAGACACACGTCCCACCCCAGCTCCTTCTGCCCCCTCCCTTCCTACAAGCAGGGGATTTGGGCAACGCAGCTTCTTTCACAGGGAGACCTAGCTGGCCCCTAAGGCAGCTAGGAAGGAATCTTACAATAAAAAGAGGGAGAGAGAAAGATCACTCTCTATGGGACACAGAGAGGGGGCATTCCTTGAGTTTAAAAGGAGGATGAAACATACTATTTTAATTTAGTGTTGACTTGGTGTTACCTGCCCTGAGCCCTATTATGCAGGGAAGGGCAAGTTATAAATTGAATATATAAACAGAAATTCTTGAACAGTCCATAATCCTGAGAACTACTAACACCCCTCTCTCTAAGGCCATGACAGCATTAGAGCTGCAGGAGGTCCCCTCTAAAGAACAGTCAGGCCCTCCTAATTCTCAGACCAGTAGTCGGTCAAGGGAATAAGAATTCTCCCTAGGTCTAGCGCAGCAGAGTGGGTTTGAGTTTCTTTCAAAAACATTTAAATGCTGAATGGGCAAAATCTATGGCCAGCAAGCAATTGCATGTTTTACTAGAAATTGTATGTTTTATCATATTTTCTACTTGATTGTTGCAGGTGCCACTAGTGGATGCTCCAGTAACAGCTTTGCAGTCACTTGAGCTTTTGTCAGAGGATAGTGAGGGCACTTTCCAGCATAGTTTTTACAAGAGGGGTGTCTCGCCCTGAAGGATGCTTATGAAGGCTCCACTATGAATCTGTTCCAACTAATTTCAGCCAGCAGCCATTGCATGGTAGAGGGAGCCATTAGGGTTCTTATAGCTCACTATGGTGAATGCTACCTTTGGCCCCTTACCATCTTTCCAGAACTATGGCATCTGAGACACCTGCCAGAAAAAGATTATGGCTCAGAGCTTGGCAACTGACGCCTAACCTGAATGGCCCAAGCTAGCTCAATCTTGTCGGGTCTCAGAAGCTAAGCAGGGTCAGGACTGGTTATTTCTTGAATGGGAGACCATTAAGGAAGCCCAGGCAGGCAATAGCAAACCACCTTGCTCATCTTACTACATGCGAAGTCCATAGGTATGACCTATACTTGTTAAAACGTCAGACCATTTGGGAACACTCTTGACAAGACTTATATTGAAACCTGACACACTAGACCACTCTGACAAGAGGAGTTTGGGGAGTTACTTCTTTAGTCTCCACTGTGTCCTTCTGAGATTTCACAAGGATAGCAGAAGGATGAACCCTTCAGAAAAGGTTCATTCAACAAATAATTATTAGTAGAAACGATAAATCAACCCATGGCCATAAGACATTCAAAGCATAACTTCAAACCCTTCTAGTGGGGTAGGGACACGTTTTCTATACTCCGGAACACGTAGTCTGACTCTCAGGTAGACAATTGGTCCTTACAGATAGTACCAGAGGATACTCCATGTTCCTCAAACTCCACTGGAACACCACATGCCTCTCCCCCACACACACACACAAGGGTCAGAAAAAGCTTGTAGAACTCTTGCTACTATACACCATTTCTTAACATTCGAGCCATAGAACCTGTCCCTCCCTTAATAGGGGACAAGGAGATTTCACCCTTCATGGTGACAAGAAGGAATGGAAATTGAAGGGCAGGTTTAGTCTTAAAATACCTCACCAAGAGTACATTAAGATATTTCAGAATTTTATCACATTAAAATATTTCACATTAAGATATTTCAGAATGAAGTCTCTAGATCCATCACTGAGTATTTTCAGCCTGAGGAGTAGATCTTGTTGATCAGATCAAACCCTGTGGCCAAGGCGCACCAAGACACAGAAATAACTATATACTGTCTACAGAACTACAGATTCCTGGTCAATCTTCAGTTAAGTTCTCTAGCACTTACTAAGAAAGTACAACACCTAGGTGTCAGGATGGTCACAACTTGCTTATACACTAGACCACCACAGCAGCTGCCAAGACATTTCCAACTACAAATTATGACCAAGGGGGACCCTCAGGGGTCTCTTACAGCAAAGACCAGTCTCACTGGGAGGACAAGAACGCTCAATCCCCTTCAGGTAAGGAAACACTTCATCCTGGAGGTGAAGTAGATCTTTCTCTGTCTCCAGTCTGCCTGGTTGGCGACAACACTACAAGGCTCACTAGTACAGGGTCAGTGGTCTAGGAGCGAGGCAATCCCCCTGGAGCTTCGGATGATTTATCTGACCTTCCTTTACCATCAGCCTACAGATACTTGGTCAACATGTACTAATCCGACCAACAAGATACAATGAGGGTCTAGATCTTCATCTACCACAAGGAAGAGATCAAGATCATAATGTGGGTGGAGAAAACCCTGACATCACCAGACAATCTTCAAGTGAATTGATGGCTCCTCCATGTTTCTTCTTCTTCCATTGGCTGAAGTGATCGAGGCTTAACATCCCAGTGGCCAAGTGACCTTACATTTGCCTATCCCCTCCATCCCAGCTCCTTCAAAATTGGTCAGGAAGATCAAGGACCAAAAGGCAGCAATCACAGTACTAGAACCATATTGTCCTCAGTGACCATGATTCTCTGACCCTCAGGATAGGGCAAACCAACCACTACTAATGCTCCCAGTATCACCGGACATGCTTCAACAAGGTCCTTGGAGACTGAGTGGGGCAACCTTTATGTCTAGGCTTTTTGACAAAATGCAATGGATACTCTGCTAGATTAATTTACAATCCTTTGTGAAGGACTCCCATCAGGCAGAGTAGTAGAAAAGGTATCAACCTCCTGAAGACTAAGACTAAATAGGTTCTGCCCTTTCTATAAGAGGGACATGATGGGTTCAAGGATTCTTCCTTTACAATGTCAAGTAACAACTCTGTCAACAGTGTTCCAAGGTCTGAACCCATCTAGACACCTTCAAGCTCGCCATCTTCCAGGGGTGCTGCTCTAAATGAGCCACCACAAAGATGCAGGTTTCTATTGTAGAAATTCTGTACCGTACTCTCAGTTTCACCAGACACGATTTGATCCTATTAAAGAAATGACTGAGGATGAAAATCTTATTTTTCTTATAGCAGGTGCATCAGATAGGAGGGTTTCTGTTCGAGGCACTTGTTCAGTCAAGCCTGAACTATGAGTTTTCCATAGAGACAAATGGGTAATGAAGACAGATACTGCCTTTATTTGTTATTCAGTTACACAGTCAAGTCCAACTCTTCACGACCTCATGGACCAGATCACGCCAGGCCCTCCTGTCTTCCGCCTTCCTCTGAAGTTTGCTCAATTTCATGTTCGTTGCATTGGTGACACTGTCTAACCATCTCATCCTTTGCCGTCCCCTTCTTCTTTGACCTATCTTTCCCAGCATCAGGGTCTTCTCCAGTGAGTACTCCCTTCTCATTTGGTGGCCAAAGTATTTGAGCTTCAGCATCTGGCCTTCCAGGGAACAGGGTTGATTTCTTTTAGGATTCACTTATTTGATCTCCTGGCAGTCCAAGGGACTCTCAAGAGTCTTCTCCAGCACCATAGTTCAAAAGAATCCTTTCTTTGGCGCTCGGCCTTCCTTATAGTCCAACTCTCGCAGCCATACAGCACTACTGGGAATACCATTGCTTTGACCATGCAGACTTTTGTTGGTAGGGTGATGTCTCTACTTTTTATCATGCTGTTTAGGTTTGCCATCGCTTTCCTCCCAAGGAGCAGGCGTCTTTTAATTTCATGGCTGCAGTCACTGTCTGCAGTGATCTTGGATCCCAGGAACGTGAAGTCTGTCACTACTTCCACGACTTCCCCTTCTATTTGCCAAGAAGTGATGGGGCCGGATGCCATGATGCTAGTTTTTTTGATGTTGAGTTTCAAGCCAATTTTTGTGCTCTCCTCTTTGACCCTGAGCAAGAGGCTCTTTAGGTCCTCTTCACTTTCTGCCATTAGTGTGGTATCGTTTGCATATCTGAGGTGACACTGTACTTGTGTATTCTTGCCATCTTTTCCTAATCTATTCTGCTTCTGTTAGGTCCCTACCGTTTTTGTCCTTTATCATGGCCATCTTTGCATGGAACGTTCCCTTAATTTCTCCAATTTTCTTGAAGAGATCTCTAGTCCTTCCCATTCTATTGTTTTTCTCTATTACTTTGCATTGTTCATTCAGGAAAGCCTCCTTGTCTCTCCTTGCTGTTCTCTGGAAATCTGCATTCAGTTGGGCAAATCTTTCCTTTTCACCTTTGCCTTTCGTTTTCCTTCTTTCCTCTGCTATTTGTAAAGCCTCATCAGACAGCCACTTTGCTTTCTTGCATTTCTTTTTCTTTGGGATGGTGGTGATTCCTGCCTCCTGTACAATGTCACGAACCTCCGTCTATAGTTCTTCAGGCACTCTATCTATCAAATCTAGACCCTTGAATCTATTCACCTTTACTGTATATTCATCTGGGATGGGATCTAGGTCAAACCTGAATGGCCTAATGGTTTTCCCAACTTTCTTCAGTTTAAGTCTGAATTTTGCAATGAGTAGCTCATGATCTGAGCCACAGTCAGCTCCAGGTCTTGTTTTTACTGACTGGATAGAGCTTCTCCATCTTTGACTGCAAATTATATAGTCAATCTGATTTTGGTGTTGCCCATCTGGTGATGTCCATGTGTAGAGTCGCATCTTAGGTTGTTGGAAAAGGGTGTTCACTATGACCAGTGTATTCTCCTGACAAAACTCTGTTAGCCTTTGCCCTGCTTCATTTTGTTCTCCAAGGCCACACTTGTCTGTTATTCCAGTTACCTTTTGACTTCCTAGTTTAGCATTCCAGTCCCCTATGATGATGAGGACATCGTTTTTTGGTGTTAGATTTATGAGGTGTTGTAGGTCTTCATAGAACCGGGCCACTTCAGCCTCTTCGGCATCAGTGGTTGGGGCATAGACTTGGATTACTGTAATGTTGAATGGTTTGCTTTGGATTCGGACCGAGATCATTCTGAGATCATGCCTTTATACTCCCTTTATACTGAAGACAAATTCGACCTTCCACAGGTCCCAAAATGTTTTAGTCTCCTCATTTCACCCGAATCCTATCCATCTGAAGGAGAAACTGCAGCAGACCTTGGAAGTAAGTTGTATGCTTAAAATCAATTCCTTATTCATCTTCATCTCTCCACTGAATGAAGGAAAGAGGATGTCAATTTGAATATCAGCAGTACCCTTAAGACCTACATTATTGAAGCTTACAAAGCTCAGTATTTGAAATACCATCTGGGATCACTGCACACTCAGTTCGAAGTGCCACAAACAACACAGCCTTAATCAAACACACCACAGTCAAAGAGATAGGCAAGGTGAACACATGGTCATCAATATTCACCTGGAAGGGCATTCTAAGGTGAACTTCTAGGACTTAGCTGATACAGCTTTTGGAAATTAGTGACAACATATTCTAGATTTGGAGGACGATGACCCCACCCAGTAAATGAGGACACTGCTCTGGGAGGTCCCAGCAAGATGTCCCCCGCCTCAGAGGAAGAACAAACATTGGACACTTACTGTGAAGGGTCCTTCTCTGAGGAAAGGAGGACATCTTGTCCCTCCCAAAGTCATTGTCAAAGTAGTTATTCAGCAGGTGCACTTCTTGTCTCATGAGTACTGTTTGCCTGTTTTTTTTCCTTATCTAGGTTGTTGCTCTATTCTTGTCTGCTTGTTCTCTTTCCTTGAATTAACTTTACAGTTTTACTGCTTTCGCAGTTACCAAAACTGAAGAGGGCGACTTCCACAGGCAAGAGACAGGAAGTTGAAAAAGTTTCTGCCTCCCTGATTGGACAGTGGGAATCACCCAGCAAGATGTCCTCCTTTCTTCAGAGGAGAAGGACCCTTCACAGTAAGTGTCCAATGGTTGTTCTGTCTGGTAGAAAATTCTAGGCTGAACTAGTGGGGTGCATTCAACCTCCCTCCAACTGAAGAACCAGAAGTTGGAAGAAAACTCCTTAAGCTGGAGGAAGGCTTCAGACTTTGCTCAGTACAGTGGGAGGATAGGGGTAGGATCCACTCCAGTTTCTTAGCCTTGATACCTCCAAGGTATAGAGTCACAATTCTTTGCATATCAGTGGTATTATTTTACACTGTATCAGTGGTTTCACAGGAGCATCTTGCCAAGTTAGCTATTTCTCCCTCAGTTTCCAGGCCGTGTTTGAAAGTGCTTCTTCCTTATTGCTGGACAAGTGTTGTAGAGGCAGCTGGGGGAAATATGGCTTTGTATTATACCAAATATAATTATCACTCTTCTTCCTTACAGGTCCCTGGTTTATTGGTGAGATGATAGATGGTCACATGGGCGCCTGCTTTTCTTTTGGGATAATAGTAGATGGCCATTTCTTTCAAGGAAGTCTAACATTCCTAATTGGGATTTTGCAGGTAGGATACTTAATGCAACAATTGACAAAAATGTGAAAATGATATGTTTCCACTGCAGTTGCAGCCTCAGTGTGGAACGGGTGCTGAACTCAAAGCAGTTATATGGACCAGAATGGTCCTTGATTGTAGCTAAGTGAGCTGCACTAGGCTCTGCCCCTGTACAAACTTCTGATTATTTGTGACTGTAGTTACTGACAAGTTCTTTAGTAAAGAATAAGTGGTGGCAAGACAGTCCCACAACTGAGTATTGCATTTGCCTGCTGCTCAGTGACAGTCCCTCAGTTAGAAAGAGTAGCTGCAAGTTTTCAGTTTAATCCTGACCATGTTAACTCGGAAGTACCAATTTACTCAGTGGGGCTAACTCCCAGATAAGTATTCATGTAATTGCACACAGAAGGCATTTAAAGGGTTTGAGTAAAGGGAGGAAAGGGTCATGGGGAAGCTGTTGCATGATAGTTTCTATGGCAACCATAATGCCTCTGCCTCAAGTGGGAGGTGGTGATCTTCATCATGCAGATATGCCCCACTCCCTCAGCCAAGGGGAACAGATTTTATTGATAGCTGGAGGCTGAATGGCATGCAGCTATAGACTGCATGTTATGCACCCATGCTCTCGAAGATTCAGAACAGTTAAAGATTGATTCAAGTGGCTCATGAAGAGACCTATGTAGATTGAGGCTAATGTCATGTCATGTGCACTTCCATGAGATAATGCTTGTGACAAGCACTACATCTCTTCCTCCTCATGTCTGCACCATTCTCTCAACATTTTTAATTTTCATAGGATTTCAGATCCTCCTGCTGTACTGCGGGAGCTCTTTAGATAAAACATGGAAGTGAATATCAACAGAGCTAACTGCCTCCTTTAGCAGTTATGCCACTGTGAAGAAATGCATTTTCTCCTGGGAGGCTGGCAAGGGGTGAAGCTTCCACTTTGTGTTTCAACAGGTCTTTTCCTATAGGCAGAGGAGGAAGTCAGTTCATTTGTACCTCAGCCCACCTTCATACAAATGCTAATGGATCTAGACCAGGGGTGGCCAAACTGGCTTAACGTAAGAGCCACATAGCCTAAACATCAGATGTTTGAGAGCTGCAAGACATGAGCAAATATTACACACACAATTTTATTGGAAAATATGCAAATTTGCTCTGTTTTAACATTAAAAGTGACTATCTGATGAGGCTTTACAAATAGCAGATGAAAGGAAAGTGAAAGGCAAAGGTGAAAAGGAAAGATTTACCCAACTGAATGAAGATTTCCAGAGAACAGCAGGGAGAGATAAGGAGGCTTTCTTGAATGAACAATGCAAAGTAATGTCAGGGCTGGGGTGCCAGTCAAAGGGAGTCCAGAACAAGCCAAGGTCAGAAGCCAAGAAGACAGTGCAAAGTCCAAAAAGCCAAACCAGGGTCAGGAGCCAGAAACACAGAGCCAAGTCCAAATCACTAACCAGAAATGTAGTCCAGAGCCAAGCCGCGGTCAGGAGCCAGGAACGCAGAGCCAAGTCCAAAGCCAGGGGGTCCAAAGGTCTAGGTGTAAGAGCCAAGCCGGAGTGGTTGCTAGCAGCACAAAGCTGACTTGTTGCTTCCATGAAGGGTACAGCCCAGAGTGTGGAGTTAAATGCTGCTACTAATTAGCCAGCTGCACAATCAGCCAGGCTCCTGTTAGAACTCTGAGCTGGCTGAGCGTCTACCTTGTAGCCTGGCCTCTCTTCATCTGCTTGCTAAGTTTTGTTGCAGTCCCTCCCTTAAACGAGTCACACGTGGGGGTGAGTCAGGAGGACTTTCAACTTGCAGTTCTTCCTTCTTATCTGGGCCAGGTGTGAAGACTGCTGTTACAGGCACTTGCCAGCTATCCTCCTCTGCTGTTTCAGAGGGTCCAGCTGTGGTTTCTGCAAGCTCTGTCTGCTCATCCTCATCCATACCCATGACAAGTAATAGAGAAACACAACAGAATGGGAAGGACTAGAGATCTCTTCAAGAAAATTGGAGAAATTAAGGGACCATGCAAAGTTGGCCATGTTAAAGGACAAAAATGGTAAGGACCTAACAGAAGCAGAAGAGATTAGGAAAAGATGGCAAAAATACACAGAAGAACTATACAAGAAGAACCTCAATGTCCTTGACAACCATGATGGTGTAATCACTGACCTCGAGCCAGACATCCTGGAATGCGAAGTCAAATGGGCCTTAGAAAGCATTACTAACAACAAAGCTAGTGGAGGTGATGGTATCCCAGCTGAGCTATTCAAAGTCTTAAAAGATGATGCTGTTAAAGTGCTGCATTCAATTTGCCAGCAAATTTGGAAAACGCAACAGTGGCCACAAGATTGGAA